GCAAAACCCGCCCGCGGTCCATGGGCGGCCCGGGACGGGCCCGGTCGGCCCGTTGACAATGTGAATATTCACATGACATGATGTAACATTCACTTGTAAGATATAAAAGTGGGTCGCGGGCCCTGTGGTGCTGCCTAAAAGTCCCTCCCGTAACCCGGGCGGGCCCGCCGGCGGCCGGGCAATGTGAATATCACATGACATGGTGAACATTATCTCTTCTCGGGGGGCAGCTTTCCCATGACAAATAGGACTTGTGACAACTGACAGAATATAATCCGGACCCGTAGGTTGGGAGTTAGAGCCGAATACGCCCAAAACTTACTCGAAAAAGGGCGTTTCGGAGGCGAAAAATCAAAACAGCCCCCGAACTATCATGTGACTCTCACGGGCAGCTTTCCCATGACAAATAGGACTTGTGACAACTAACCCATAGACATGCAAACCTCATTAAATTAGATATTATTTTCTCACTAGTGATTCTATTTTTTCCAGGTGTATTCTTTGACACTTATGGGGAGTATTATGAAGATATGAGAGAGATCCAGGGTCAAGTTGACCTTCATTTGTACGAAGACCTCCGCTACAGACCACCTCAAAATGCAATCCTCCATCGTAGAACACTTCCATTTACCGTTTGCCATGACCTATCTATTTTGAAGTGGGAAAACAAAGTTTTCTAAGTTCTAAGAATGTTTAAGAACATTACCATATTATCAACGGGCCGGGTCGGGCCTATTTTTTTGGCTTGTGGGTCGGCCCGGTCCGACTCGAATTTTTCCGGGCACCCACGAGGATTGACATGAGCCGGGCCCCTACACATTGACGATATAAACATTTATATTGACGGTGTGAACATTCACATTAAGGGTATTTTGGTAATTATGTCACCCATAGGACTTATTGAAACATAAGAAAATAATGTGAACTAAATGGAACATAAGTAGATGAAAAGGGTATTTTGGTCTTCTTATCTCAAATTGGACCTAATGGAATAGTCAAAAAGAATATGGGTTGGATGGAATAAAACTTTTAGAAAATAGATTTATTAAAAAAGCTCCATTTTTAAATAGAAATTTAAAATTTGACTAACAATTTTTTTTTTCAATAAATTTTTTTTCAACAAATACTAATCGAGGGGCAATCGGTAATGCTACTTTAAACTTTGGAGAGGGGATTGTAATTTCTAAAATGTGAGGGGTGTCATAATTTACCCAGTGAAGGCAAAATTAGAATTTAAAAAAATTGCTGACATCAGCAAAATCTATTAGTTGACTTAATAGTCAACTAACTAAGTGAGCACTATAATGAAATTTTAAATCTTAAGGGGAGGATGTAATTTTCAAAAAGTGAGAGAAGAAATTATAATAAATATAAGCCTAAGGGGTGTCAATGTAATTTACCCTTTATTTATTTATTTATGGTGTGTATTTAACTGAGAAACGGGGCCTCAAATTGTATTGGGGGTTGCTTCACGCACACACACCTCACTCACAGTCATGGCAGCAGCAACCTTACTGACTTCTCAAAGACCCTTTCCTCTTCACAAATTCAATGAGATTGGTATTGTTTCTCACCCAATTCAACGAACCCGTTCCTCAAAAACCATCATTTACAGTATATTCAAGAACAACAAAGCCATGGCTGCTTCTCTTTTGGGTGCTGCTGGGTTTGCCCTCACCCTAGTAGTGGAACCCGCCTCTGCTGCCGGGCTTCCATTGATGATGGGTTCTTCTTCTTTGCCACTCTATGAACCCCCAAATGCCCTCTCTTTGCCCACCTGGGCCATCCATGTCTCCAGCGTCGTTGAATGGTGACAATTCTCTCTCTCTCTCTCTCTCTCGAAGTTGTTTAATTGATTTTTAAATTCTGCACTTGAAAGGGTTACGGCAATGGCGTTAGTATGGCAATATGGAGAGAAATCTGGGTATGAATCATGGAAGGGGCTCTCTTGGGGTATGGTGAGTGAAAGTGCCTTTTTTTCACATGCATTTACTTATCTCTTCCCTTTTTTAAAAAAATTAAAAAAAAATAAATAGTGATTTAAGTTTTATTGAACTTTTTAATGCTTGTTGCCTGTTGGGTTTTTCTTGTTATTGTGTTTTTGTGATTCGGTGGGTGCAAATGCGATGCCTTTGCAATTGTAGATTTTAACTTTTGGGTGGTTTGATGAATGAGGAAGATGTTAAATTTGAAAACAGTTTAGCAGTTTTAGCGGTTAACAATTTTATGGGCATTCTTGGAAAACAAGAAAGTGTGACAGCTTCCAGTTATTAGTTGTGTGCTTTATGTAATAGTATAGATAGATAGTATAGATGTTTGAACAAAAAAAGTGTGGTCACCATTTGTTTTTGATGACTTGTGGGAAGTGGTCATGAGAAGCATAGCACCATACAATTGGAACTTTTAGCATTTATTTGTTTACAAAATATATTTTTAAGCTGCTACAACATTATGAGTGATAAAGTGCTTTTTTCTTCTTCTCTTTTTTATTTATTTTTATTTTTATTATTCATTTTGTGTGCATATATATTTACATATCATATTATCAAGGGAGGGATTCTGTGGCTGAGCATTGAGTGGATATTTTCCACTACAGATTTCCATAACATCGATGCCACAACTTTATTCTTTGAAATGGAGTCATTACAGAATGAAAAACAGGAATTATTTTGAGAGGAATCACTTTCATCAGTGAAAAATCATCACGAGATGTTTGTCTTGCCATTTCTTCATTTCTTGAAATGTTAAAAAGATCCTGTAGATAAAACATATAAGAACATAATCTCTATCTCTTCAATTCCTGTTGTTTCCCTCCTTGTTATATTGCCCTGCTGCTCCCTTGCCTGCCATGGGCAGATGGAGGTCAGTTGAAAGGGGACAATTTGCCCTCATTCACCCTCTCCCACTTCCTCCCTGTATTAGTCGGTATGAATTTTAAAATATATATATCAAATAGGCTCTTGGCTTTCATTCTAGTGAGCTGCAATTATCAGTGCCCAATAGCTGGTCAAATGTTTCCTGTTATTGGATTATTTTTGTTAAAATATTGTAGCGATTAGAAATTAATTAAAAGTTTCCATATCTGAAAGATTGCATTTGTTTCCTTTATTCTGAATTTCTGGAAATCTATGAAATTTCAAACTTTATGCTTAAAATTTGCACGATAATATTTTTTTTTGAAGGTTGCCATAATGTGGGGATGGTGGTAGGGATGATATGGATAGATAATTAGATTAAGTGAATAAATATGTAACACACTCTGATGTTTGTTTCAACTTGTAAATAGATAAATGAAATATCAAATTTTATGAATAAAAACATTTTCTGTGAACTTATTAAACGCAAGTTACTTTTTTTTTTTTTTTTTTTCAAGTGTGTAAATTGCAATCAGTTATTATGGGACAATTTGTATAACACTTGCTGTAGGCCATCTAAAACCAAGCAAATTCTGGTTTCATTGCCATGTGCTACCTCTGTCTAATAAATTCCTGTCCTCCTTCTAATTCGTTTCTAGTATTTAAGTCACTTGGTGCAAGCAGAAATAAGGAATTTCTGGGACATTAAGAATCTGGCCTTTATTAGGATGATTTGGTAAAACTGATATCCCTTTTGGCTGGATTGCATATAGGTTACTCAGTGCTGTAGTGGTGAATGGTGACTTTCTCTTGGTAAAATCAATTTGAACAAAAAATATTACCCCTTCAATATGGAAATCTTTTCATTTTATAGTATTTATACTTCAAATAGAGTCATAATTTTTAAATTTGATGTAGATTTCAAATTATATATTTCTTTTTTGACAATGGAATATACAGCTTGGATGTTTAATTATTAAGTTTCCATAAACCATGCAGTGATGTCTTGCTATTGGTCACTGGGGAAATATAGTTCCTTGCTCGTGGTATTTCCTTTGAAGTATAGCTTTCTTTACAAAATTAATCCATACATAATTACTTTTCTTTTTTTCTTCATTTTTTAGGTACCCTTGCTTGGTGGGGCATTTTGTGCATGCACGTGGCATTTCTTTTATAACTCTGAGGCTCTTGAGGTAGGAAGACTTGATTTTCGTTTTTAAGACTTAACGGTTACTGGATTATGTTAGAAAAAGTTTTACAATTATAATTTGGATAGATTGCTCAAATTTGTATTGGTTACGGATGTGCCATGTGGGCGAACTTATCTACCATCACATCATCTGTCTTATTGCTATCACTTATTAATATCCAAAAAAATAAAAATGTTATCTTTATGCTCCACTAGCGAGCAAAAAGAATAAAGGAAGTTGAAAAAGAAATTTATGGTATGAAGGCCTAAGCATGCCAGAAGGTAGTTTGCGTGAAATAGATTGAAGTTTCTTAGTGGAGTTGGGGAAACCCAAGCCTACAATTATTAGAAGATATTAGTCCACATAAATCAACACTAGTGAAGAAATCCCAGTGTTCTGGGTGAAACAGAAGACTGCTCCTACTCTCGTTTCATCTATGTTCTTCTTTTTATTTATTTATTTATTTATATGTGTTTTGAAACAATTTAAGAATCAACAAGCCCTATATACAGTCTATATTGGGAGACACAATCTTATTCATGTTATCCAGTTCTTATTCATGTTGGGGATTCAATTCACCAAATGAATAAAAAAGTGGGTTTCTTATATATGTGGGTATCTAGGAAGTTTAATTCTTCCTTTGAAATACTTTTGGAGTTAGTTTTATAAGTTTGTATGTTACTTATCAAGAGAATAAGGGGGAAAAAGTGGTGCTCAAGTTCACGAACTCCTGTCCTAATATTCAATTGTGAGATGCACTAATATTCAGAAATACTACTAGTACTTCTTTGGCTCAGTGTAGGGGGCCACTGATTCGGTGGTTAAAAGTCGGCCTATTAACCTTCAGGTTGTGAGTTTGAAGTTAAGGACTGCCCCTTTGTGCATATTATGTCAAATGCTAGGTCTACACCCATCAGACTCCCATCCAATGGGGACTAAACTGTGGCATACTTCTACTTTACTTTTTAGTAAGGAACTGTTCTTCTCAAACCCTTTGAATTTGGGGTTGGGAAATAAAATTACCAATCGTCATGGACCTTGAACACACTACACAGATATAATCACTCCAGAAAGTTGTGTTGTCGCTAGGTTAACGTGTTCTAAATAAATTCAGAAAAACTAAAGGCACCTTTTAGTGACAACAAAATAAATAGCTGGATAGCAATATTAACATAAGAGAATCTTTTTAAAATGTTCACATAAATCTTTGGTAGTGGGAAAGTCCTCAAAAAATACATATACTGAAGTGGGGAACTACAAAAATGATACATAAAAAGAGGAACAAATGAAACTTGGTTGCTAATATTCCTTCAACTGCCTCTTTCTTAGGGACTATTGGGAGGATGGAGGGGTGGAGGCTATGAAGCATGGATACCTCTCCGAAGGGAGCGCATGAGTGTTCGACAGGTGTCCCCTTTTTTTTTTTGAATTTTTTTGCAGTCAGACATGTTCGGGACACATTTTGGACACTTACGGGGTACAAAATATAATTTCAAAACTTGTAAATGGGGTAAAATGTGTAAAAACACAATTTTACTTTCCTAAACTAAACCCTAACGTCGACAAAGAGAAAGAGAAGAGAAAAGAGGGTGAAGAAAAACCTGAACCTTTTGAAGCCCAAGAGCGCGAAGAACCAATGAATCGATGTAGGGCTTTGAGGTATGTCGTTCGTTCGTTCTTCCTTTCTTCTTCTTTGCTTCTTTTTTCTTCTTCATTCTTCAGTTCGATGGTCTTCGAAGGTTCTCTCTCTCTCTCTCTATTTTTCATCTCTTTTGCAGTTCGTCTCTCTCTCTCTCCCTCCCCCCCTGCTGCTTCGTCTCTTTCTCGCCTTTGTCTGTTTTGTTTTTGTTTTTATTTCCTTTTTCTTTTTGTAGTTCCTAATTAAAGATATTTTTGTATTAAAATACCTTTTTTTAATAACAAAAACCCTACTTTTTTATTTATTTATACCTCAATACTCTCTTTTTTTTCCTCTTTTTATTTTTTCTATTTTTTTTGGGTATTCTTGTTTGCTTAACCTGAACATACATAGCTCTAATTATTTTTATTTGTTGGAAAAAATTAATTAGTTGAATGTGTTTATTAATTTTTTTGTGTTATTTTGTGTGTTTAATTACCTTCCAATGATTTTTTTTCCCCAATTTTAGACATATAATAAATAAATAAAATTATATATATTGAACGTGTTCCCTGTGTGTCGTGTCCCCCGTTTTTTGAAAATTTGCGTATCTGCGTATCCGTTTCATGTCTTGTGTCCATGCGTCATAGGGTGGAGGGAATAATGTATATCAATAATTGTTGATCAAAAAAATAAAATAATAATGTATATCAATAATTGAAATTTCAGTGATACACTTGTGATTTAAGTATATTCTTGTTCAGTGACCGACTACAGTCCCTTATAGGGGATGCTGGCAAGCTTTTATCTATAGCAGCTAGATGTTTACTATGTTGTTGACTTCAACATTAGAGAATCTGAATCTATGCTTACTATTGCCTGCCTTGGAATGTAGCTCACAATCAGTCTTGGAGGCCAGGCTTTGTAATCTTTTCAAGGAATTTTTTTTCTTCTTGTAGCTGGCATTCACACATAGATGTGGGATTAATTTTTAATTTTTTAGGGTGGTATGTGTTACATGGACTCGAGTATGGGTGTTGGGTACGAGTGTGTATCTAGAGGTTGGATTCATCAAATTTTAAATTTAAGGACGCGCGGCCTAGGCAAAAAAAGATCACATTTTTATATTTTTAATCTATTATGCGAGATAAAATAGTTTTACATGCAACATACAGCGTCAAAAAGACATTTATAGCAATTATACAATAATATGTACATACAATAATAGTGTTAAATACAAATATATAAGAAGTGTCCGATGAAAAGTATCCAACACATATCTCATATCCTTGTTCAAGTGTCAGGTGTCTGATACGAATATTTGATTTATTCTGAAAAGTCTATGCAACATAGTATGTGTGTGTGTTGGGGGGGGGTTGCTGCATTACATTTACCGGAGTAGGGTTTGTGTTGATTTGGCCTCGAGGAACTATTTCCTATTTTCCTCAACTTGCATGAAATTTCAATTGACTGGACATGTCTTATGACATATCTTGCAATTCCCAGTATCCAAATTCAAGTTGACTTGGGCATATGGTGTAATTCTGTTAGGCCCAATGCCATCAAACCCTTTTTTAATGGGTTTGAAGCAGGTCTGCAGGTTGACTTGGGAATTGCCATCCCTTCAAAACAAATTGTTTATCCATTGGGCAGCCATGGTAGGGGAACCCATAATTTTTAGGCTTTTAATTAGGATCTGTCTCACTCACTTTAATTCAGATTACAGTAGCTGTATTGTAGATTATCTGTTGAGTGCATAATGCTTGCTCTGTATATCATCCAAATTTTCGTCTTGCAGTTCACTATGAAGTGTTACCATGTCTATACATGACATCTCATTTGACTCTGTTTCTCATTGAGTTGTAGGTATTGGTGGCTCTTCAAGCAGCACTGACAGTTATAGGTAATGCCACCATGTGCTTCGCTGCATTCCGTATATACAAATCATCAGGTGGAAGCTCAAAGAATCCATAGAGCTTTCCTATCTTACATTCTGTTTGTGGATTGAATTTTCCAGTGGTCATGTTTCTCAGTCTGGTAAGTAAGAAGCGATTCGTTTTGTTTTAAAGCCAACATCGATCATACTTGAGTACTGGGCAATAGTGCCAATTTAAAATATTATGACATTTTGTGAATGTAGGAAAGGGGAAACAAGCACGAAGCTTCCTGATTCATGGTGGAGAATGATTTGTTTGATACTATGAACTAGCACATATGCTTGTGGTTGATTGGACAAATTTGGATGGGAAAGCAGATTTTTGAGCTGCGGAGACAATGACTTCTCTCTCTCATAGCTGGTGAGTTTGTCAACAAAGTGGTTTGACCTTACCTTCCCTAGTTGCAATAATATACAATTTGTTCAAAAGTTTGGATAAATCATCATAAGATCACCACATGTTTAGACTTTCTGGCTCTCCCTTTTATGTTTTTTGATTATTTTAATGATTTTATTATATGTATTTCAACAATAGCATCTCCCTCTCTAGGCCTTTTATGCCAACTATAATTGCTATTTTGACTGCTAAGATGTCGGTGTATCTGATCAAACTAGTTGAATTTGAAATTGCTTAGCGTTGTCCAGAAAGTTGTGAATTTGTGATACAAAGAATAAATTTGGGGAAGTCCCCATAAAAGCAGGGAAATGTTATTCACTCTTCTTTTAACCACCCCTTACACTTTTTTTTTTTTCCCTCTTACACTTTTTTTTTTTTTTTTTTTTTTGTGTGCGTCTTCTTTGAATGAAATATTTAGGTAAAAATTCGCAGATGACAAAAAGGGAAGTGCAAGAGACTAAAACGGTAGTGTGAATAACATTCCCCTTAAAAAAAGAAAATCATAAATAAACTAGTTTAACATTGTTTGCTTGCAATTTGGTACAATGAAATCTTGAAAGCATAATGAATGGTATTTGGTGAACCAAATAAACTCAATGTCTCAAACATTATGCACCCATTTGCTTTCGGATGAGGTTGGTGGTTTCTAATTAAGCCATCAAATGCATGAAATAGAGCTGTGTTTGTTGAAGCTTAAACGGTCTGGTTATGGTTTTTTTTTTTTTCAAAAAAAAAAAAATTATGTTGGGAGTTTGTGTCAAACCGTTTGTTGTGTGTGATAACAGTTGCTTAAATAAATTGAAAAAGTTGAAAATAATATCATGAAGCTAGGGGAAGGGTGCTTTTAGATTTTACTTATAAATATTATCAGCTTACAACTTAGAATAAACTGCAGCAAACATGTCCAGAGTCTGAAAGTAGGTCCTTCGGATTAGGAGGCTGGGGTTTTTAGGTTAAGAATAAAATAGACCTTTGCGTGTTGTGTTGGCCCATCAAAATAGGCCATAGAGAAATTGTTAGGTCTAACATGAGTGATTGTTGTATTGTGTGATATCAATCCTCAAATTACATAATGTATATACATAAACACAGATATTTTAGATAAAGATAATAATGTAGAAAAATGCATGCTTCGAATTCAAAAGGGTGTTGTTGTTGTTGTAGGATTTTAATGAAACATGCTTTTTTTTTGTTGAGGAAATGGATCAAAGTTTCTTTTGTCAGCTTTTATGTTTTCGAAATGGTCCTGAAATTTAAATACAAAAACACTAAAGTATAGAAAAATTTCACAGAAAATCACACAGTACTGTACTTACTGTATTCACTCTGAATGAGATCCATACACCACCAGGATAAATACAGCGTGGAATTAACTAATGTTAGAACTTAAAATCTTCAATTCAAACCCTCGTGCAACTTTTTCATTGAGTCTTGCCATTTTCTCCATTCTCTTACTCTCTCACACATTGTACCTTTGTTTATCTTCTCTTTGATTATTTCCATTAGGATTATTTGATGTATTCTCTTCCCGAAGCGACGTAATACGATGTGTTCAATGTATGATGTGTTTTCTTTAATATGACCTCTCTCTCTCTCTCAGAGACAGTACTCAATCCGTGATCATTTCATTGCCATGACAACTCCAAAATGGGTTGCCTTAAACTCATCAACATGTAACTTCACAACAACCAAATCTTATAGATCTTACATATCATGTGAAAATAAAAAAAGAAGAAGTAAAGAAACGAAAAGAAAAGAAAGTAAAAGAAACATAAAACTCATATGCATCAGTTACTAGGTCGAATGAGATTGCATGGCAACCATTATTGATTCTCTTATGAAATTTTCTCATATAAGAGATTAACAACATAAAAAAGTATTTAAAAAGCCCATTTCATAACCCTATTGGATGCAACTCACATATATATATATATATAGAGAGAGAGAGAGAGAGAGAGGCAAAGTGATCCTCATAATTTGATACTAGTAGTGTTCTGGAGGAGGAAAAGGGTGGTGGAGAGACAGTTGAAATGAGTGAATTTCTTATGGATCTCAGACATCAAGGCAAGGTTCTCTTCGTGTAGGAGGCTAGCTTTCTTCCTTAGCTTCTCATTCTCTTCCAAAATGCTTAAGTTCTTCATATACAGCTTCAAGTTCTTTAGCTCCATGTCCTTCCCAACCTTCTGATCTTCACATCTTCTTTTCCTCCTGCGAAACAAACACACTCCCATGCATTGAGACCTAAACAAAATAAGCAAATTCAATGAAATAATACAAATGGAACCAATATAATAAATCACCTTTATGTTTGTGAAACTACCTGGTAAGTCTGTGAACTTGAACTTTAGGTCGCTTTGATCGTTGTCTTCGTGTATATGCAAACAGCGTATGAGGTGGATTAATCCATTCTGTGGAACTGGTACACATTTTCCTACAAGCTACTTTTGAAGAAGAAGAAGAAGAAGAAGAAGAAGAAGAAGAAAGTGCTTTGGAACCACTGAGTTGAATTAGAGTGGATTGTGATATGTATAAATAGTTGGCTGGTGTTTCAATCTATGTTTGTGGTCTGCACCCATGTGGTGGTGCCCTCACAGAGAGAGATAGAGAGATAGAGAGAGAGAAGTTTCAATACTGGTAATGATGGCTTCAGAACTCATGATTATGTAGGGCAGTGACTTCATCTGTATCAATGAATAAAAGCCTAAGAAGAAGGAAATTAAGGTATAATCCTTCTATTTCTATCTTCCCCCCTCACATTGTTTGGCACTCTTGGGATCTCATTTTCTTAGGGGAAACTAAGTCAAAAGTATTACTATATCCTACCTAATTGCCTATGGAAAGCCCATTATTCATAGAAATTGAGGCTATTATTGTCCATTCGTAATTGACCTCAGCCTTACCAAGTTTTCACGTAAGGGTCGGTATTGGGCCGGATTGGGCCCTAAAAATGGCGCGCAAGCCCACTCATGGGCTGAAGTTTGATGGGCTTTAGTCTAACATGCCAAGCCGATTTCCATGTCAAAACCGTAGGCCCAAGCCCTGTTTAATGGGGTTGTGAGTCAGGCCACCTCTCACGAGCCAATGTGCTAGCCTGTGAACTTAGCCCAACGGGCCATGATCCATGTCTATTATTTATTTATTTATTTTTCCACTTTTTTTTTAAAAAAAATTTTCATATTTCTTGCCTGTCTCATGGGTTAGGCCAGTGGCCACGGGCCAAGGGGTAGAAGCTAGGCTTTACAAGCCTCATTCGGGCTAAGCCATCCTGCTTGGGGTATGGACTTGGGCAGTGTAAAATTCCATCTGACCGGGTGGGCTTGGTCCGGAAATAATAACCCTTATTCTCAAGCATTTTTAAGGACAGTCTTGGGTCATAACTTGACCATAGCCCACTAAGTTCACATGCTTCCCATAGCTATGGTGGGCTACTAGCTTTCTTCTGGGACCAACCAGCACATAAGCTATGTCTCTCACTTCTATATATTTGTGACCATGTACATTTGAATCTACTTGTGTGTTTTGTGTGTGTATATGCATGGAGGTTTAGTGTTCTAACATATGTGATTGAAAAATACAGACGGAAGGTTTTGAATGCTGATTATTTGCATGTAGAATTGTTTTCTAGCTACCAGTGATAGTTCATATTATTAGTCCATTTAAATTTTCATAGTGGTAACTAATGATTTTGAAATTTTTTCAAACCATAGATTATAAAAGAACATATATAGGTATTCTCAAGTTCATCTTTTTTTGGTGGGAAGTCACTGTTGGACAGAAGATGTGTTAAAAAAAGAAAGAAAGACCCCATCTAATAAAAAGTAAAGAAGAGGAAGCTTTCAATGACCATGTACATTTGAATCTACTTGTGTGTTGTTTTGTGTGTGCATATGCATGGAGGTTTAGTGTTCTAACATATGTGATTGAAATACAGACAGAAGGTTTTGAATGCTGATTATTTGCATGTAGAATTGTTTTCTAGCTACCAGTGATAGTTCATATTATTAGTCCATTTAACTTTTCATAGTGGTAACTAATGATTTTGAAATTTTTTCAAACTATAGATTATAAAAGAACACATATAGGTGTCCTCAAGTTCATCTTTTTTTAGTGGGAAGTCACTGTTGGACAGAAGATGTGTTAAAAAAAAAGACCCCATCTAATAAAAAGTAAAGGAGGAAGCTTTCAATGTATGCTTCATTTGTTTAGGTGGAAAACATTGTTTATATTTTTTGACATTTGGTATAATGGAAAATGAAAATTAATGGAAAACATTTTCTATGGCTAACAAAAGATAAGCCTATCTAGACAGAAAATCTTCTCCACTTTTAAAAGGTTAAAAATGTTTTCTAGATTAAAATTTTATCAATGTCACCGCACTATCACTACCACACCATTGCCACGACGCCACCACCTTTACCTTTGTCCCACTGCCACCACCTCCAAACATAGAAAACATTATTTGAAAAAAAAATTCCGTAATTTTATTTTTATTTATTTATTTTTATTTATAACACATTTTTTACCTAAACAAAAAGAGAGGTAATTATGAGTTGATAGGAAGGAACCATTAGACTTAACAATTCTTTACAATGAGAAACAAATTGTCATTATATAATTTTCTCATATATTTTGTGGAAGGAAAGGTGAATTCTAGTGACTCAAACTCGTGCTACAGTGGCATCATGTTTGACTATTAGATTAAATGAGTGTGATTAAGTGTAGTAAGATTGAATAAATAGGATTACTGCTGTTGGGATATTAATTCTATTCATGTATAGTATTTTCTTTAAATTTTTAATGATTAATTGCATGGACGGTTGAAACTTCAAGAGAAGTGTTAATTTCAGTTTACAAGTGACTTAGTGGGCCCTAGCTCTCTCTTCTTCCTATGGGCATTTTTGTGGACCATTTAGAAGGCTCTCTCTGAGCTTTCAGGCTTCGTGGACCATTTTCAACTCTTCCCTCTCACATTTCACCTTTTTTTGGGTACATCACTCACACTCATTATACATGGTTTGAACACAGATATCTAAGAGTCAAATCTAATGTTGAGAGTCCCTTTAAACCCCTTCTCCAAGTCTCTCTGCATTTGATTGCACATTATCAGCAGCACCACCACCTTTGAAATATTTGTCCCTAGTAAATTAAAAAAAATAAAACGAATTAAAGAATAATTGTATGTATGTATGTATGTATGTATGTACAGTCATTACTATAATCACTTATTTGACTCCGTTTTTATTCACAACAATACGAACTTTTGTGATTAGTAGAAAATAGTAGGGTCTACATTTAGATAGGATCGTTATATTTTTCCGCTAATTAGTTACAAGCCTGAGGTTATTTTTGGAAATAAATGATTTCTGTATTCCATTAACAAACATAAAAACTTTTTTTTAATCTAACCATTTCAGTCGATTACAATATGTACAACTCACTAGGAATATAAGAGTTTAAGGATAAATTTTCACCTGTTAAGCTGCGTGCATGTTGTCCTCTTCGGATATTATTTTTAGTGAGAGTCTTATGCACGGAATGGAATCTTCATTTCTAATTTCATTATTTCCTTTCATGTGAGTGAAGAAAATCTCATAAATATTCTATGTTAATAAAAGAAAATGTTTTAGAATTTTAAAACATGAGCTCTAATGAGCTGGATTCTATTATGATGTGATGTGTGTGCTAATTTTTTTATTTTTATGTTTTATACCGTCACCCCGGTAGAGTTGATTTTAGAGTTCTATTTTTAAAACTCTCTATCATTACCCTCTTAATAAATTGAAAAGTTGTCACTCTTGCCCATTTCTCCATAATAACTTCACTAATAGTCTGCATTCACATGATGATCTAATATACATGTAGTACGCATGGGTTCAGTAAATTAGAGACTTTCTTCATCTGTGAGTGAAGTGGGCAGGAAAAGAGGTCAAAAAGTACTCATGAAAAGTCAACTAATAATAGGGTGGAAATGAAAGAGTTAAAAGAAGAGTATTAGCATCCAATGAGATTGATAATTTGCCCATAACATATGACAGGAATGATATTGGGTATCTAAATAATTGATTTTTGTTCGATAATTAATATCGGAACAAGAAAATAGTGTGAATTGAAAATGTTTATGGTGCCCAAAAGGAAACTCCCAAGTTATAATTGTGATAGAAATTTAATTTAATTTTATTCACTTGACAAGTGGGTGAATATAGGGTTATTTTAGGAATATGGCTAAAAGTCTAATTTTGGCTTTTAACTTATTTTGGTCACGTCATCGTTTTATTTTTGTACACATTTTTTTTTTAATTTAAAAAAAATCAATTTTTAACCAATTTCTTAAAACTACTCTTACTTCAAAACAATTGATTTGAAACAATTAATGAAAGAAAAGGATTTTGTAAGCCACTATCAAAAACGAGAAATATATTATTAATAAGTTTGAAACTCAGAAAAGATGTGTATACATGTATTATTAAAAAAAGAAAAAACCTCATAGATCACAGCCATGGAATAGGTTTTGCAACAAATTAGTGCTGAATGTCAATACAACATACCTAAAAAACAGATTAAAGTATTTTTATGTAGGCATGTTATATGAATTATATATATTGTATGGTTCTCAAAACAAAACCACATTTGTTAATATGAATAATATATATATATATATATATATATTATATGGCTCTTATTAAACATACTTATTTCCCCAGTTCGACCTATATATATGTAAGCAGTTTGGTGCATATATGTGGAAGATAATGATGCCATTTTGAAATGGGCCAGAGAACCACTCAAACCTTCACTTATTTCTTCTTTTACTACTTCAACTACTACTATTACAATTTGCAATGAGAGAGAGACTTTCCGCCTTGTTTGGGAAAGGGATGGCAAATTTCTTGTCCTCATATTTGTTCCAATCTGATTTTAATATAAATAGTTTAAGAGAACATTGATCGGGCAGGATAAAATTTAGTGGTAAGTGAGAAATTACTTAGTGATCTTGGAACATTGTTCTACACTACTCAAGATTGAACACTTATCCATTTGTCTCTTAATAAGAGACACAAAAGTGGTGAGATCTACTGTTTTAATCAATCAAACTTAAATTAAAATATAATTTCTTGTGATAAGTAGGTCAAAATTGTCAAATTTATAATGAAATATAAAATTATATTGTTAAAATAATTAAGTTTAAAAACAAAAAATTGCCTGCAAAACTCAAATACCCCAATCTTTTTACAAAAAAAATGTAAAAAATAGATAAAAAGCAAAAAAAAAATAATACAAAAAGTCAATCTATTATTTTTATTTTCTTACCCATCTTTTTCATAAAAAACATAAAAAAATTCACTTAAAAAATCAATTCACAAACCAACCCAAAATGAGAAAATAGTAAGTGGAGAGATTATAGTTTAACTCTATACTCTTTAAGTCATAATTAAAAGAAAAAATTATAATTAAATATAAAAAATTTATAACTAAATATTTCAAAATAATGTCATAATTAATTTTTTTTTAACTATAACTAAAAAAAAGGGGGAAATTACAAAAAAAAAAAAAAAAAAAAAAAAAACCCTATGACTTCGCGTGTTTTTCAAATTAAACCCAATAGTTTCAATTTTGACAAATTAAACCCTAGAGTTTTTTCCGTATTTCAATGTGAACCCTCCGTTTATATCCGTTTGATTGAACTAATGGAATATGGCAAAATTCTCAAATTCAAGCACACATGTTCAAACACTTGTATCTCTTTCGTCATAACTCCATTTCACCTCATTTTTGCGTCGTTGGATTCATCTCATTACCTAATTTTCATTTCATCCCTCATACACATTGTTCCACATCTT